GGGGCCTGCACCGCCCCGTCCCCCAGCGCTGCCCGGGCGCCCGCAGGGCTCCGCCAAGGCTGTCCGTCCCCAGCCCGCGACACCCCACAGCGCAGGCACCGCCAGCACCAGCGCGTCTGTGTGGGGAGCCCGCGGCGACTTCCGTTGCCTCCCCACCGCACGGGCGGGCCTGCAACCCAAGGCCTCCTCCTCTCCCGGCTGCTGGTACCTATGGAACTATCCGTACCCCAGGGAACTATCCGAACCTCAGGGATACGCAGGCATGCCGCTCCCTGCTGCGGCCCCTCGCCGGGACACCCATCATGGCTTTACAGGGGCGTGACAGGCCGCAGGTATAAACACACCCCAGCTATGCACGTGCAACTGTATCATCAATTTCCCATTAAACAAAATCACATCCCATAATGCCGCCTATTCCACCTTTAGCATCTTTGTAACGCTACAAATCCCAACAAAGAGGCACAGTCCTGTCCGTCTCTCCCGGTAAACGGGTGCGTGTCGACGACTGCCCTCGCCCCTCCTCAAACAGATGTCTCCGCCGTCCTGCGCCTGGCGGTGCCCGCGCGCATTTTGTCCCGCCGCGGTGAAACGCCCCGGCATGCGAATGGAGGGCTTACTGTTATGGACTGCAACAGGTCGTTACAGATCCCGTAACACGATCCGTGCTTTGTCTGCCAAACCACGCCAAAAATACGTCCACGCGCGCGCCGGGCAAGCAGCTACCCCATACCACTCCCGCATCGCCTCTGCCACATGCCGGAGTATCTCGGACCATCGGGAAACTCTCCCCTACCTGCACACGCAGCCCCCCACCACCCTCCTCCTCGCACCAGCGCCTCTCTGCTGCCATCCCGGCAAGCCCCGCCCCCTCATCCGCGTGCCCGTCACCACCGCGTGCTCCAGCGTGGCCCCGCAACACGACATACACGTGCAGCCGCTCCGTGCCCCTCCCACGCCGTCCTTCCCACCTTGCCAGCAAGGACTAGACCATACGTCCCGAAATGCTGTTGCGTTACTCACCTTCTTGCACCTACAGAAATGCCACTAACGCCCCAGCCAGCCGCGGTACACACACGCGCGCCAGCCCTGTCTGTCTGCCTTTGCCTGAAGGACGATGATGCTATCGTTCATCTCAGCTCCAGGGAGGAATAGGGGTAGGAAAGAGCCACGCTACTCTTCCAGGGATGCTATCCGTCCCCCGCATGGATCAAGCACAACAGAATATCCAGCGCTACGGAAACGTACGTATAATGCCACCGCCAAACTCACACAGGCCCCCGCAGAACTTTCCATTCCCTCTTTTGTGCACTGACAGCCATAATCCTCTCTAGCGGGAGCTGGGCGGACAGCCACACCAAATTCCCATGCTGAGCTGCCTGGCCCCAACCAGCGGCTGCCGGACTCGGTGTGTACCTCTTTCTTCCGGTGGCTGGGTGGCGTGGTGAGTAGGGAGTTAGTGACGGGGGCTGTCCCTACAGGTGCTCCCCAACGCTCTTGCTGGCAGGGTTATGATCGCGAGAGGGCTGTTCGCTACCGGCCAGGCAATGTGTACCCCAGGGGCCTCGGTCAGTAGAGCGCCAAGCATCCCAGTGAGCCACTGCTTCCCCAAAATCGTTCTCTGTACGACACCCAAACGCATTTTTATCGTGACTGCCCCCAAGGTTCCCCACTTCAGCTCCAACACATTTTTCTTCGTAACTTGAAGTTTCTCAGTCAGCAGAAGTCTTAACTTTCACTCTAAAAAAACCCCACGCAGGACGTCAGCGATGATGATGAAGGTGCTTTTAGTGTGCATGAGGGCCCAAGTAGATGAAATGGGTTTAAAAAAATGAGACTTCTAAATGTTTTCCTCTGACGATAACACCGTGAGAGAGATTTCCAGTGGCTTGGCCGCTTTAAGCCTGGATGTTGCCCTACCTCACCGTGGTTTGACCGCTTACCCGGTTTAACTGAACCTGCTGAGTTCATAGCACTCGGCTTGGAGACAATTACAGCACAACCTGTGTAAAACAACCTTCCCTACCTGCTGATGGGTGCCGATGCCCCAAACAACCCCCCAGCGCACATCCGTTGCGGAAGACACCTGCAACATCCCCTCGCTTTGGTGCCGCGCCCCTGTTAGGGAAACCCAAATTAACCAGAGGACCATCCACACACCCCTGCCCAGCTCTGCTTCTGAGGACAGGTGGGCGAAGCGGGCTCTGTGCCCCCACACCAACATGCTGGCGCGGCCTCTAAATTATTTCCATAGTTTTGCACGTGGTCTGAGTCACTCAGGGTTCAGGCCCGGGCCTTGGGGAGCCAGGGGAGAGTCCTGCCCCACCTTCCCCTGTGTCGCGGGGCAGCCTCCCCTGCCCAGGCTGTTATCAGGCCCTTGGCCCTGTCTCGGTTTCGCTTTCCACAGAGGCATGCTTCTCCAAGGTAACAAGAAGAGCAAAGCATGACGTTGTTTCACCCTGGTACTCATTTGGTGTTTTCACTCGGGCATGAATGGGAGGCCAGGAACCTCCATCCCCAGATATTTCGGCACGGCCCATTGTGGGAGGCAAGGGCAGGGGGGAAAGGGCTCCAGAGCATTTTGGGGAAGAAGGGAGACTTTCCAGGCTAGCGTGAACCGTTGGTATGTAGGACACAGATAACAGACTGTAAGCATGACCTGCTGGTGCTGCAGACAACGTGATCTTAGAGGTCAGTTTGTGGTCTCTCAGGTTGTGTCCAGTAACGAAGCAGAGGTGTTAATGGGTTTAGATGCTGTACGCTGTGATGCCGACTCTGCGTTGCTTTGTTTGGCTTCTGGGATACAGGCGTACTTCTGTTTTAATTTTTGCTGTTCCTCTGACTGAGGGTTGCTTCTAGCCCGACTGTACTATCCGTTTTTGTCAGGCTACATACAACTAGTAATGTGAAAAAACAGCTTTCAGTATCTGTGTAAAACTGGTATCA